AGGTTCGAGTACAATGGCACAATCCTGACTCACTGCAGCCTCGACCTCCTGGGCTCAAGTGGAGCTGCAGTGAGTCAGCCTCAAGAGGAGCTGGGACCACAGGTGCACACCACCATGCTCAGCTAGTTTTTGTATTTTTTGTAGAGATGGGGTCTTGCTATGTTGCCCAGGCTAGTCTCAAACTCCTGGGCTCAATCAATGCTCTCACCTCAGCCTCCCAAAGTGCTGGGATTACAGGTATAAGCCACCATGCACTGCCACTTCCCCATTTCTTACCATCCCACCCCTTCACTCAACATTGCCAAGAGGATGGTCTCCTCTGACTCTCCTTCCACGCCCTCTTGTACCCTCTCCAATCAGATTCCCATCCCTGCCATGCCGAGGTGGGAAGATGGAGGCCAGGAGTTCAAGACCAGCCTGTGCAAAATAGTGAGACCCCACCACAAAAAAAAAAAAAAAAAAAAAAAAAGGGAAAGGAAAGGAAAAAGGAAAGGGGCTGAAAGCCAGGCCTGGCTAGTGCGCTGGAGTTTAAGGAGTGAGGGAAGCTCTGTGGTCCAGGGCTGGAAGTCCATCACAAGACCACCAAGCTGCCACTCTCCCAGGAAGCTCCGCTCCTCAGGGACTCTCACTAAACTCATTGAAAAGGGAAGTCGTGGCCAGGCGTGGTGGCTTATGCCTGTAATCCCAGCACTTTGGGAGGCCAAGGCAGGTGGATCACGAGGTCAGGAGTTTGAGACCAGTCTGGCCAATATGGTGAAACCTCATCTCTACTAAAAAAAACAAAAACAAAAATTAGCCAGGTATGGTAGCACGTGCCTATAATCCCAGCTACTCAGGAGGCTGAGGCAGGAGAATCACTTGAACCTGGGAGGCAGAGTTTGCAGTTAGCTGAGATCTCGCCACTGCACTCCAGCCTAGATGACAGAGCGAGACTCCATCTCAAAAAAAAAAAAGGCTGGGCATGGTGGCTCAAGCCTGTAATGCCAGCACTTTGGGAGGCCGAGACGGGCAGATCACAAGGTCAGGAGATCGAGACCATCCTGGCTAACATGGTGAAACCCTGTCTCTACTCAAAAAATACAAAAAACTAGCCAGGAGAGGTGGCGGACGCCTGTAGTCCCAGGTACTCTGGAGGCTGAGGCAGGAGAATGGCGTAAACCCGGGAGCCCGGAGGTGGAGCTTGCAGTGAGCTGAGATCTGGCCACTGCACTCCAGCCTGGGCGACAGTGAGACTCCGTCTCAAAAAAAAAAAGAAAAAAGAAAAAGAAAAAGAAAAGGGAAGTCCTGGGAGATCATCCTCTTTCAACTGTGATCCACTCACCCTAGGTATGGAAGGGGAGCTGGAGGGAGTGCTCAGGAGGGAGGAGATGCTGGTTGACCTGCACCTACTTTTTTTTTTTTTTTTTTTTTTTGAGAGCCTTGCTCTGTCCCCCCGGCTAGAGTGCAGTAGTGCAATCTTGGCTTACTGCAACTGCTGCCTCCTGGGTTCAAGCGATTCTCCTGCCTCAGCCTCCCGAGTAGCTGGGATTACAGGCATGCGCCACCACACCTGGCTAATTTTTATATTTTCAGTAGAGACAGGGCTTCACCACATTGGCCAGGCTGGTCTCGAACTCCTGGCTTCAGGTGATCTGCCCACCTCGGCCTCCCAAAGTGCTGGAATTACAGGTGTGAGCCACAGCACGCAGTCAACAATACAATTTTTTTTTTTTTTTTTTTTTTTTTTTTTGAGACGGAGTCTCACGCTGTTGCCCAGGCTGGAGTGCAGTGGCGCGATCTCGGCTCACTGCAAGCTCCGCCTCCCGGGTTCCCGCCATTCTCCTGCCTCAGCCTCCTGAGTGGCTGGGACTACAGGCGCCCGCCACCGCGCCCGGCTAATTTTTTGTATTTTTAGTAGAGACGGGGTTTCACTGTGGTCTCGATCTCCTGACCTTGTGATCCGCCCGCCTCGGCCTCCCAAAGTGCTGGGATTACAGGCTTGAGCCACCGCGCCCGGCCAACAATACAATTTTTTAAGGTTCACCTTTATCTGGCCCTTTCTGGTACTGCACTCAGCACCCCCTGCCCCACCACCACCACCCCCCCGCACACTTCTCCACTCTAGGTGGAGAGCAGAAATCATCATCTTCTGCTAAACAGGTTCTGGTCCCTTCTGCCTCAGGGCCCTCGCATATGCTGTTCTCCATGTCTGCAAGTCTTCACGCTACTCCCATTTCACCTACTTCCACCTTCCAGGCTCAGCTCCAACACCACTCATCACTTCCTCTCTCCTGTCCAGATTAGGTCAGACAGACCCTGCTCCACCTTCATAAAGCTCCTTTACTTCTTCATGGCTCTAATCACAGTGTCAAGAAAATTGTATCTAAATTATAAATTATGGCTGGGTGCAGTGGCTCATGCTTGCAATCCTAGCACTTTGGGAGGCCAAGACGGGAGAATCCCTTGAGCTCAGGAGTTCAAGACCAACCTGGGCAACACTGTGAGGGTTCATCTCTATTTTATTTTTTAAAATTAATTTCTTATCTTTATTTATTTTTGAGATGGAATCTCACTCTGTCACCCAGGCTGGAGTGCAGTGGCCTGATCTCGGCTCACTGCAACGTCCACCTCCTGGGCTCAAGCGATTCTCCTGCCTTAGCCTCCCAAGTAGCTGGGATTATAGGCATGTGCCACCACACCTGGCTAATGTATTTTTAGTGGAAACAGCGTTTCACCATGTTGGCCTGGCTGGTCTAGAACTGACCTCAGGTGATCTGCCCACCTCGACCTCCCAAAGTGCTGGGATTAAAGACATGCGTAACTGCGACTGGTCTATTTATTTTTGAAACAGGGTCTTGCTCTGTCGCCCAGGCTGGAGTGCAGTGATGTGATCTTAGCTCACTTCAACCTCCGCCTCCAGGGTTCAAGCAATTCTCATGCCCCAGCTCCCTGAGTAGCTGGGATTACCAGCACGTGCCTCGGCCTCTCAAAGTGCTTCGATTACAGGTGTGAGCCATCCCCCGTAATTTTTGTATTTTTAGTAACAATGGGGTTTCACCGTGTTGGCCAGGCTATTGTCTCTATTTTTAAAAATTAAACTATAAATTTTGATTACTAGAACTATCTGTGAGAACATCTTATTACTGTTTCTCCCACTGGACTGCGACCTCTGTGAGGGCAGGGACTGGCTGCTACACCCCCAGCCCCAGCACAGGTCAGGTACCCAAAATGTGTGTGTTGAATTAATAAAATACAAGTAAACACAGAACCAGAGCAAAAATCTAGGGCCCCTGATTTCCCAACTACAGCTTCACCTTCCGTACGCCAGGCATGGAGGTCTTGGGACCCCCATTCTCAGAGATATCAACTAACTCACCCTTAGCTTAGGTAGGGAGATAAAAGGAACTAACCATAATGGTTAATGCTTAAGAGTTTTAATCAGTCTGCCATAGAAAGCTCCTCCCCATTCTCCATCTTGGGGGCTCAGATCTTGGCTTTGGGTTGGGATAAGGGACAGGGTATCAGGTTGGGAGGGGAGAGTAAATATGAATACGGTTGAGGGACCAGAGCTGGGATCAGAAGAAAGCGCAGGTGAGAAGGAGCAGAAAGTGGCTGCTAACCCCAGTCCCTGAGCCAAGTCAGAAATCCAAGTCCTTTTATAGCATCCAGGAGCCAAATGTAGTGAAATCCACACGTCATATCGTTCTTATCTGCAAAGTGCTGTCATCTGGAGCCCAAAGCACCAGGGCAAGGCTGAATTGGGCCCAAAGTACCTGAAGGGTGTCACTTTAGGTCTGGAGAGTCAGGAGGAGATGCCACCTTGGCCTAGAGAGTTGACAGCGAGCATCATCTCGGCCTGGAGGGGTGTGCAGGAAATGCCACCTTGGTCCAGAGTTGGGAGGAAGATCCCCTGCCTTGGGTTAGGAGAGGCCATCATTTTGGGCCTGCCGAAGTAAGGAAACCATGGGGAGTCCCCAGAGCCCAGGATCAGGGAGGTGTAAGCACGATGGAAACAGCAAAAGTTAGCAAAACCTATCCCACCTATCCCATGGCACAGCTGGACTTGGGAAACAGAAATCAGGCTGAGAGGGTGGGGCTAAGCTCAAGAAGGAGGCAGGAGGCAGAAGATTGGAGAACAAAAAGTAGAACCAACCCACGGAACCAGGGCCAAACCTGGGCAGCAGAACAAGGACCCAGCTGGCCGGGTGCAGTGGCCCACGCCTGTAATCCCAGCACCTTGGGAGGTGAGGCGGGTGGGTCACCTGAAGCCAGGAGTTCGAGACCAGCCTGGCCAACATGCTGAAACCTCATCTCTACTAAAAATATAAAAATTAGCCAGGCATGGTGGTGCATGCCTGTAATCCTAGCTACTCGAAAGGCTGACGCAAGAGAATCACTTGAACTCTGGAGATGGGGGTGGCAGTGAGCCGAGATCACGCCATTGCACTCCAGCCTGGGCGACAGTGAGACCCTGTCTCTAAAAACAAAACAAGCACCCAGCCCAGGGGGAGGGCAGTTCTGGAGATGGAGCTAGGATGGGAGGCGTAGGCAATTGAGTGAAGGAAGACGGCAGGGAAGCTGTGCCACATCCTGGGTTCCTGTGGGAAGAGCGGGAACAAGCCCCCCACCACAAGCAGAAACACTCAGAGAGAGCACAGCCGGGTGTGATGGCTCACACCTGTAACCCCAGCACTTTGGGACGCCAGGGTGGGAGAATCGCTTGAGCCCGGGAGTTTGAGACCAGCCTGGGCAACACAGTGAGACCTTCTCCCCTCTTCAAACTGTCAGAAAAAAAAATTAACCAGGCAATTGGGCATGGTGGTGTAGGTCTGCAGTCCCCGCTACTCTGGAAGGCTGAGCTGGGAGGATCACTTGAGCCCAGGAGGTCGAGGCTGCAGTGATAATTCTGCCACTGCACTCTAGCGTGGGTGACAGATACACACCCTGTCTCAAAAAAAAAAAAAAAAAAGAGAGCGAGCGAGCGTGAAAAGAAAGGCAAAGGACAAAATATGACATGATGAGCCCCCAGGGTGGAAACAGATTAAGGAGCAACTATTTATCAAAGGCTGGAGCCAAGCCCCAGGGTAAGGCTCAGAACCAGGCGGCAGGGTCAGGATAGGTGGAGGAACCAGATCTAAGGGTAGTGGGGCCCTGGTCTCCACAGTAGGGGTTGAACTATATCCAACATAAAGCATTATCCAAGGGGACCGGATTAGCCCCCATGGGTGGCACTAAGATGGGAGCGGGGGGCGGGGGGTCATAAGAGACACAGGAGACAGAGTCAGGTCCCAGAGGCAGCAAGGCCTAACCCCAAATTGCAGTCGGGTAGGGAAGTAGAATCATGGCTAGGCCCGCGGCCCCGGGTCTTGCTCAGGCTCGGTCCCCGGCACGCCGCGGATGTCCGGCAGCAAGCGGCAGCCAGCCACGATGTCCAGACGCTCAGCCAAAGCACAAAGGTCCCCGCGCGCCAGGCGCACGCTGTGGGCCGCCGCCAGCCCCGCCGCCTGGGCTGCCGCCAGCCTACCAGCCAGGGCGGCCACGTCGCGGCCCGCACGGCGGTAAACACCGCTCACCGCGGCCGCCACGTCGTGGTCCAGCCGCGCCTGGCTCTCCGCCAGCCGAAGCTGCAGGAGCGAGCGCGCAGGGGCGGGCGCCGGGGCCTCTTCCGCGCCCCAGGTCTCCTCCGCCAATTCCCGCTGCACCACGAGCGGAGGCAGGTCCCTCGGCGCGGCCGTTGGCTCCGGCTCCGGGTCCGAGTCGGTCTCTGCGGCCTCCCCAGCCACCCTCAGCCCCGTGGGGCGGCCGCGCGTCGGGCCCGAGGGACCCAGGTACAGCTCCTCTTCCTCCGACGAGGACACAGAGGGCTCGGAATCCGTCTCGGTCGCCTCCCCAGGCACCACCGTCTCCGGCCTCCGCAGGGGCCTCCGCCGACGACCCTGGGACGCCATGGCGCCGAGCTAGGGCAGAAAAGCGAAGGGACTGCACGTGAGACGGGCGCCGCGGTGGGTAAAAGGCGCAGGTCCTGGATTCCCAGCCCCTTCGCTGATTCTCTTAACGACTTGGGGTCAGTTGCTCCCCCTGCCTGGGCCTCAGTTTCCTCTTCTGTAAACTGGGTGATGATGAGGGTTACTGGACCCCAGGCCCTTCAGCGTACAGATGGGGAAACTGAAGACCAGCTCCATTAGGGATCTGGGGCCCGAGTTCCCGGAGTCCCAAGCCGAACTCTTTACGAATTTGCCTCCTAGTAGCGGCCACACCCTCCACTTGGTCCACCATGCCAATCTCAGACCCGGAAGCACTCGGGCCCTTGAGCTGCTCGGGACCAGTGCCAGAGTCGCAGAAAGGATGACAGTCCGATTGGACTCCGCTGGGGGCACTCATGGGATGGGGGAAGCGCTATCGCCAAAGACCGTACCCGGTAGCTAACGCTCCGAGCCTGCGGGATCCTCTTCCTTGCCCGAGTGCCGAGTCCTCACCGTGGCAGCTGAAGGGCTGCGATCTCGACCAATAGGGGAGCGGGTTGGGCGGGCATTAGCGGCCAAGTCACGTGGATTCGTCCGACTACCAATCAGGATGCAAGTTCTCAACATCAGCTTTGAGGGAGTGTGCAGAAGATCACATGAATGGAGGAACCGCCAATAGAGAAGCGGCTGGGCCGGCTTTTCCAGGTTGTGCGACGAGGAAAGTCTGGAATGGACAAATAGGGATTTTAAAAGCCGAGTATGTCACGTGTAACCAGTAATTTGGCCAATAGGAATGCTCAAGAACCCGGAAATAGGGAAGGGACGGCAGCAAGGGCAGAAGATGTTGTCACGTGCGGCCAGAGGAGGAGTAGGCCCGCCCCCTAGTATCCCAGGCTCACGCGCACACCACCTGAGCCGGAGGTGGGGAGGCGGGGCTAGTCTAAAACACCAGCGGAAGCGGGAGTAGGAGGGCTCGCGCCGTGACTTGAGAGGCGTGGCTTACCAAGCCTGGCCAATGAGAGCGGGAAGCGCTGGGCGCATCTTTAGGCGCGCGAGGAGGGCTCATGGCGGACACTGTGCTGTTCGAGTTTCTTCACACGGAGATGGTGGCGGAGCTGTGGGCTCACGACCCCGACCCCGGTTCGGGGGTGAGCGCCGGGTCCCGTGGGGAAGAAGTGGGGGCCACCACGGTAACGCCTCGGGGAGAGCGGAGGGGCTGTCAGACGTCCGGGTTCGAACCCCGACCCAGCCCCGGCCTTGCAGGGCAACATCTGGCGCTGGCTTCCTCCTCTGGAAAGTGGGGTTCGCGAAGGTGCCGGCTTGGGGTTATTGCTAAATTGAGCGAGATGACTCAGGGTAAAGCACTTAGCTCACGGCCTGAGTAAGCGGCAAGTAATCATAATAATGCTGTTATTGGCCGGGCGCGGTGACTCAAGCCTGTAATCCCAGCACTTTGGGAGGCCGAGACGGGCGGATCACGAGGTCGGGAGATCGAGACCATCCTGGTTAACACGGTGAAACCCCGTCTCTACTAAAAAATACAAAAAACTAGCCGGGCGAGGTGGCGGGCGCCTGTAGTCCCAGCTACTCGGGAGGCTGAGGCAGGAGAATGGCGTGAACCCGGGAGGCGGAGCTTGCAGTGAGCCGAGATTGCATCACTGCACTCCAGCCTGGGTGACAGCGCGAGACTCCGTCTCAAAAAAAAAAAAAATATATATATATATATATATATAATAATGCTGTTATTGGGCGTGTGCTGAGTACTCGGTATTCACAAGGTGTGCGACCCAATGACTTAATCTTTGTGTGTCCTAATTTTCTCTTTTGGAAAATGAGCATCATAACGTACCTGAGCCTCAGCATGGGACATTTATTCATTCGACACCCACTTATTGAGTGTCTGTTGTATTGCAGGCACTGTTCTAAGACAGAATCCTCGTCCTCGTGAGGCTTACATTTCACTGGGGAGTCAAATAACAAACTGAAATATGCCGGCTGGGTGCTGTGGCTCACGCCTGTAATCCCAGCACTTTGGGAGGCCGAGGCGGTTGGATCACCTGAGGTCAGGAGTTCAAGACCAGCCTGGCCAACATGGTGAAACCCTGTCTCTACAAAAATTAGCCGAGCATGATGGCGGGTACCTGTAATCCCAGCTACTCTGGAGTCTGAGACAGGAGAATGGCTTGAATCTGGGAGGCGGAGGTTGCAGTGAGCCAAGATTGTGCCATTGCACTCCAGCCTGGGCAACAGAGCGAGACTCGTCTCAGGAAAAAAAAAAAAAAAAGAGAGATGGGGTTTTGCCATGTTGCCCAGGCTGGTCTTGAACCCCTAGACTCAAGTGATTCTTCCGCCTGGGCCTCCCAAAGTGCTGGGATTACAAGTGTGAACTACCACGACTGGCCTGGGAGTGTGTGTGTGTGCATGCATGACAGGGTCCTGATCGGTCGTCCAGGCTGCCTGGAGTGCAGTGATGCAATCATGGCTCACTGCTACCTCGACCTCCTAGGTTCAAGCAATCATCCCACTTCTCAGCTTCCCAGGTAGCTGGGACCACAAGCGCAGCTGGCACCACCACTACTGGCTAATTTTTGTATTTTTAGTAGAAATGGGGTTTTGCCACATTGGCCAGGCTGGTCTCAGAACACCCGACCCCAGGTGATGCATGTGCCTTGGCCTCCCAAAGTGCTGGGATTATAGGCATGAGCTAGGGCACATGGCCTTTTTTGTTTTTGTTTTTGAGACGGAGTTTCGCTCTTGTTGCCCAGGCTGGAGTGCAATGGCACAATCTTGGCTCACCACAGCCTCCGCCTCCTGGGTTCAAGCGATTCTCCTGCCTCTGCCTCCAGAGTAGCTGGGATTACAGGCATGTGCCACCACGCCCAGCCAATTTTGTGTGTTTAGTAGAGATGGGATTTCTCCATGTTGGTCAAGCTGGTCTTGAACTCCTGACCTCAGGCGATCTGCCTGCCTTGGCCTCCCAGAATGCTGGGATTACAGGCATGAGCCACCGTGCCCGTCCTTGTTTTGTTTTTGAGATGGGGGATCTCACTCTGTCACCCATGCTGGAGTGTAGTGTCGCAGTGTTGGCTCCCTGCATCGTCCGCCTCAAAGGCTCATGCGTAGCTAATTTTTTTTTTTTTTTTTTTTTGAGACGGAATCTCGCTCTGTCGCCCAGGCTGGAGTGCAGTGGCCGGATCTCAGCTCACTGCAAGCTCCGCTTCCCGGGTTCACACCATTCTCCTGCCTCAGCCTCCCGAGTAGCTGGGACTGCAGGCACCCACCACCACCCCTGGCTAATTTTTTTTTTTTTTTTTTTTTTTTTTTTTAGTAGAGACAGGGTTTCACTGTGTTAGCCAGGATGGTCTCGATCTCCTGACCTCGTGGTCCGCCCGTCTGGGCCTCCCAAAGTGCTAGGATTACAGGCATGAGCCACTGTGCCCGGCCATGTAAGACATTTTTATTGGCTCTGGTTTCCTTCTCGGATAAGAAGCCCCAGGGAGGATGTTGCTTGTTACCATCTCGACATACAGATATAAACCTGTCATAAGTTGAAAACATAAATCAGCCTGGCGCGGTGACTCAAGCCTGTAATCCCAGCACTTTGGGAGGCCGAGACGGGCGGATCACGAGGTCAGGAAATCGAGACCATCCTGGCTAACACGGTGAAACCCCGTCTCTACTGAAAAAATACAAAAAACTAGCCAGGCGAGGTGGTGGGCGCCTGTAGTCTCAGCTACTTGGGAGGCTGAGGCAGGAGAATGGTGTAAACCTGCGAGACGGAGCTTGCAGTGAGCGGAGATCCGGCCACTGCACTCCAGCCTGGGCGACAGAGTGAGACCCTGTCTCAAAAAAAAAAAAATAACAGAAAAAATCATAAATCAAAAATGCATTTAGCCAGCTGTGGCACTTGCACCTGTAATCCCAGGTACTCAGGAGGCAGAGGTGGGAGGATCACTTGAGGCCCAGTGTTCAAGACTAGCCTGGGCAACATAGCAAGACCCCACCTCTAAAATTTTTATTTTTTTATTTTTATTTTTATTTTTTTATTTGTTTTTGAGACAGAGTCTCGCTCTATTGCCCAGGCTGGCTGGCGCAATCTTGGTTCACTGCAAGCTCCACCTCATGGGTTCACGCCATTCTCCCGCCTCAGCCTCCCGAGTAGTTGGGACTACAGGTGCCTGCCACCACTCCTGGCTAATTGTGTGTTTTTTTTTGTTGTTTTTTTTTTTGTTTTTGTATTTTTAGTAGAGACGGGGTTTCACCATGTTAGCCAGGATGGTTTCAATCTCCTGAGCTCGTGATCTGCGTGCCTCGGCCTCCCAAAGTGCTGGGATTACAGGCGTGAGCCACTGCGCCCGGCCAAGATATTTTTAAAATTAGCTGGGTGTGATGACATGTGCCTATACTACCAGCCACTCAGGAGCCTGAGGTGGGAGGATCGCCTGGGCCCAGGAGTTCAAGGCTGCAGTGAGCTATGATCATGCCACTGCACTCCAGCCTGGGTGACAGAGTGAGACCCTGTCTCTAAAAAAACATGGGGATTACTCAGTGAGCCATCAAAAATTTTTGTCCTCCTAGAGCTTTGTCATCATTGGAGAAGACAGACAAGTAAATGAGGAAAGTATCTGGTACATTGTGTAACTGCTATGAGGAAGATACAGCATGGCCCAGAGAGTATGCATCAGCCTGGGGGTGGGTAGTAATGTCTGAACACTCCATATCCTTCCTGACCTTCAAACCAGAAACTCCGGAGTCCTGACAGCTGCCTTTTCTCCCTCACCTGCAACCCTGCCCCAGGCTCTGCCCAGTCTGCTGTCTAAATGCCTTTCCCACGTGGCCCCTCCTCTGCCCTGGTCCAGCGCTTTCCCCTCTGCTCCTGTTAAATGAGCCTGCTCCCTTCTCCCAGCCCATTCCACCTGTCACATCTTCACCATGCTAACACCTATTAATCCTTCAGATCGTAGCACAACAATCCCTTCCTCAGGGATGCCTTCCCTGAGCCCCCAGTCCAATTTGGATCTCCTTTATACATTCTTCTGGTCTCCCTCTCCCACTTTTTTCTTGGTAGGCTTCGTCATACTCAATAAGGATGTATCTGATTTTTTTTTTTTTAAGAGAGTCTTGCTCTGTCACCCAAGCTGGAGTTCAGTAGCATGATCATAGTTCACTGTAGCCTCACACTCCTGGGCTCAAGAGATCCTCCCACCTCAGCCTCCTGAGTAGCTAGGAGTGCACACTACCATGCCCTGCTAATTTTTTTTTTTTTTTTTTGAGACGGAGTCTCGCTCTGTTGCCCAGGCTGGAATGCAGTGACCGGATCTCAGCTCACTGCAAGCTCCGCCTCCCGGGTTTACACCATTCTTCTGCCTCAGCCTCCGGAGTAGCTGGGACTACAGGCGCCCGCCACCTCGCCCCCAGCTAGTTGTTTATATTTTTTAGTAGAGACGGGGTTTCACCGGGTTAGCCAGGATGGTCTCGATCTCCTGATCTCGTGATCTACCCGTCTCAGCCTCCCAAAGTGCTGGGATTACAGGCTTGAGCCACCACCGTGCCCGGCCTCTGCTAATTTTTTAATTTTTTGTAGAGATGGGTTCTCACAATGTTGCCCAGGCTGCCCTTGAACTCCTGGGCTCAAGCGATCCTCCGGCCTCAGCCTCCCAAAAACTCACACCTGGTTTACAGGTGTGAGCCACCATGCCCTGCCAGGATGCATCTGAATTGTGTATCTGTATGATCCTTTGATTCACATGCATCTCCCCCTGCCGGAGTGTACTTTGTGTGGGATGGGCCTGGGTGTGTATTGATGACCACTATATGCCCTGGCTCTTAGTGGGTCCTCAGCGTGGACTTGTTGAGGAGGTGAATGCAGAGCCTGTGTCGTGGTGGGTGGGGATGGGTGGGAACTGGGATTCATTTGGTTTATGAGCAGTGCTAGCTGCTCCCTCCCTCCCCCAATATGAGTGCTTCCTGTGCGCACTCATGGCTTCTCACTTTTGATTTCATTTGATCTTCTGGTGATCCAGAGAGGTTGGCATGGTCCTCCCTGGTTTATAGATGAGGCGGCGGAGGCTTTGATGAACGGAGTTCCATGCTCTCAAGTGGCAGAGTCAGGAGCGCAACCAGGCCTCCCACTTCCAAAGCCTGTGCT